CCAGACGGAGTAGAGGTCCCCGGTTCAGTTCCAGGCCCTGGTGTCATTTAAAGTGGTCATAAACCTCAGACATGAAATATGAACAAAGCATATTTCTCTATAGTGAATACTTGTCTCAGTCCACAGCACACAGGGCTTTATTTACTAAAGCTGGTTCACTCAGAATCTCGTGCACTTCTGCATAGAAACCAATCGGCTTACAGGTTTTATTGGCTAAAGATTAATTAAACAAGCTGAAGTTAGAAGCTGTTTGGCTACCATGCACAGGTGCATGAGATTCTGAGTGAACCAGCTTTAGTAAATCTCCCCCTAACTGTCGTTTCTGTCTGCTGCTTTGTTCTGCAATTAAGATGAATCTCTTCTAATAGGTTTTCCTGACACCAATAGAAAAAAGGGGATGGAGGAGGGAGCTCCAGCACACAGCCTGTGATTGACAACCTTAACTCTGTTGCTCTGTGAAGGCGGCTGTGTCCCTTTCCTCCAATCAGCTCTCAGAGCTCTCCTCACTGAGCTCTGCAGTGTGTAATTTCAGCTCTCCATCCTCAGTCTGAAATCTCAGACGATCTTTATAAATTGTGGACTTTAAAGAGCTGTAGAGAAGAGAAAGCTATAGAAAGAAAGGTACAACTTATGTAGGAGGATTAGTTTCATCTCTGTATATTACCTAAGACCAGTCACATCACTGGGTATATGTAAGGATTTAAAACCACTTTAATGTATGACGTACCAACTTTGAAATGTATATGTTTGTTAAGGCCATCCATTTATTTTAACATTGGTGGCACAGTGAGGAGCATGCTGGTGGCATTTAACATCTTTATTAAATGTGATTACCAGAGTGGCAGCAGAGACTTGCAGCCCTAGTTTCTTAATCACCAAGAGATGGCCCATGCAAACTTTGACCAGCCCCATCTTGGCTTGTCCAGGCAGATGTAGGGAGGCTTTAAAAAGAAAGCCTTACCTGCCATGACAATTGCAGAAGTCTCTTGATTACAGACACGGTAATTTTTCCCTTTTTCATCTAAAATATTGTTATAGCATTGTAAAACAGGATGAATATTTGTATCCTTTTTTGTCTTTAAAAACTGTTTATTTGAGTGGACTGAAGAAAAATTGTGAGAAATGTTCTATGTAATACCTGTATGCTGTTCACTCAGTTAGTAATAGTATTCAATGTGCAGACTCCTTATTTTGTTTCTCATGCCTTTATTTATATTTTTCTCTACACTTACATGCAGACCAATCTGATCAGCACAATTGACAGTGACAGTTTGGGACAAACTATAACCCTGCCTGAGGTGCTTGGGATAAAAAAAAAAAAATCACAAACTGATACTATTCTATGTGTTAACTGCATATCAATATCAAAATACAGTATTTTTTTTATAGTAGCCTTTTAATTAGTGCTGGTAGCTCTGACACAAAGGTGAATCCAGTATATATACTTACTGGCCAGTTTATTAGGTACAGATACAAAACCTCCCGCGCTCAGAGACCCAGATCAGAATTTAGCGGGTAAAACAATAAATGAAAGTTCATCCAATAGCCGATCAAAGGTTGTGCAGCTTAAACACAAGGCTGGGGAAGCCCATAAAAAAACTGAGGAAGAAGGGATCCCCCTTCGAAACGCATCAGCTTCCTCCTGAGAGTCTCCCCTCTCAATGGGATCTGCACATGTCTCCTATTCCAGTGCGCTGATGTTGGATTTTATATGCTTTTATTAATAAATAAAAACAATGTGTGCAACCAAACTAGTGAATAAGCTAATAAAATAGAGCCGCTGCAATAACACTTAAAAAGTGATCCCACACTTAAAACACAAAACATACATAAATAGTGTTGCATTAACTCATACAAACATAATAGTCCATAACCAGATTCAAACGTGATAGTTCAATCAAAAAATGAAATATAAATATAAAGTGCTTGAATGGTGAAAATCAAATAAGGTGCTTGAATGGTGAAGAATCACTACGATGTGCTCCAGATAAGTAAAGTATATTTGAAAAACACAGTGCTCCAGCTTAACATAGTGTTCCTCCACCAAAAATATATATGGATGGCCGCTCACCTCCTACCGTAGACCCACAAATTAATACAGGTCAACCAAGCATGGTAATTCCAAAAAGATGCTCCAGAAGCCAGCAGAAAGCTGATGACAGGCACCCCTTCAATGACAGTATAAACAGGACTCTTCTCAGCATAACTCCACATATAGAAAGAACAAAGGACATCTCCCATAGTGTAATACTGTTTTAATTCCACATAAAATAGTTCTAGAGTATCACTCACATGATAGAAGCAGTAACATAGCAATTTGCAATTCAAAACTCCCGCTCCGTAAAAAGCCGGCAATGACGTCACTAAGCTCTGCCCCCATGCGTTATGCCACCAACCACGTGGCAAACAATATTACACTATGGGAGATGTCCTCCGTTCTTTCTATATGTGGAGTTAAGCTGAGAAGAATTCTTTTTAAGGACATCTTCTATATTATTGGTTTATTCTTTGATGCATTATAAATGATTTTATCTTCTATATCACCTTAATTGTGGCTGTACATTTTTCCACCTGCTGTGTTTTGAGGTGCAATTAACACATCTAACACCGCTGAAGATAAACTTTTGATTAAATTATGCAAATTAACATTCATTTGATTGTTTTATTAATTGTTTTGATGGATGTTTGCACTTAATTAGTATTGTTTATTTATCAGGTAGGGTTTAAATGCATTATTTATATCATGTAGCACTTTAAAATGTGGTCATTTTGCACATTAGGCATTGCGTTGTATAATAGGAACGTTTGCAACATGGATAAATACTTTAACCTAACATTTGCTAGGAACAATGCTTTACAATCAATGGGAGTAGCGACAGCTTAATGCTAGTTTGCTGCTTTAAAGCAAATAAAGATGTGCAAGCACACACCTCTATTTAACTCAGTATGAATAAAGCTGTAAGTACAAAATGTACATTTCCAACAATAACACACTGACGTGCTGTTACATATAGTGGAGGGGAGAATTCTTAGAACTCATCGACAGCTGTATGCCTTACATTAGGGTCATGGTAAATTGATGATTCTGCCACAGGTGACACCTTAGCAGTGGCAGAATTACAGAAGAGCTCACTGCCCAAAATGGTGCAGTCTCACACAGTAGTGGTGGAGTGACAACGTGCTTATTCAGGCAACATACCATGGAAGAAGTTATGTTGACTGATAGGGTTTCTGTAAAATTGATGCCAGAGACAGAATTGCTAGTGATATGAGCCCTAAAATTTAAATTTTTGGCCAAAGTAGCAATCCAGAGGACAGCTAGGATCATTTTTACAATTATCTAGCTAAGAAGTTAACATGAACCACTGAAAGTACCTGGGTGCTGTGATAAATGGTTTGAAAAGATAACAAGCGGGGAAGTATAAAATAGATGTCTAGTATTACAGGCGGAGAGGGCATTTATTACAATTTGGCTCTTCTACAGCACAAACATGAGGGGATGTCAAACCTGCCTGCCTCTTGCCCACTGCTCTTACCTTCTCCAACTGTACACTGACAGTTGTCTTGTGTCAGGGATCCAGGTATGACCAGAGATGTGTGGACTGACACAGGGAAACGCAGGCTTCAAGTATGGTGTAAAAGTAATATAATTTATTTAAGGTTACACAATACACAGAACACACAGTGCAAAACCAAACCAAACCTTAAACTAGTCTCAATATGTGTGGGAACACAAGCGTAGTCAGGCAGGCCGGGTCGGTAACTATCGGGTAGACAAGGTACAAAGAAGCAAGCAGGAGAAAAGTCAGGAATAGCCGGGGTCAATGCAGGCAGAGTTCTGGCAGAGTCAGGATCAGGCAGGAAGCAGACAGGATGCAGGTACAGGGGCTCATGGGGACCAACACCAAGGCACTGATTGCAGGTGTATTTAAGCAGAACCAGGCCTGCAATCAGCCTCAGGTGATGGCTTGATTGCAGGAGTGAGACCCTGGCTGCTGAAAGCACCCTCTGGTAGGAGCTGCTACTGCAGCCCACAGAGCAAGTGAGCCACAGCACCACCAGTGGTGAGTCCATTCCTGACAGTACCCCCCCTCAAGGAGCGGCCTCAGGATGCTCCAAACAGACCTTAATAGAAAAAATGTTCCACCGCCTGGGTCAGTTAACGGGCTGGATAACTCACTGCCGGAGTCAAGCGACTGGCTGGGCCTCCTGCTGATAGACCTATTTTTTTGCAAGAGACCGCAGGAATGCAGGTTGCTGGACACAGGATCTCCAGAAGCAGGCTGGGCATCAGGAGCTGGCGTGTCAGGCTGGGCAGCTGACAGAGGCACGTCAGGCTGGGCAGCTGACAGAGACACTTCAGGCTGGGCAGCGGACAGAGGCACGTCAGGATGGGCAGCAGGCACCGGGTCATCAGGCAGGACAGACAAGACAGCAGGCACCGGGTCATCAGGCAGGACAGCGGGCACCGGGTCATCAGGCAGGGCCACGGGCATCGGGTCATCAGCCAGGACAGCAGGCACCGGGTCATCAGGCAGGACAGCGGGCACCGGGTCATCAGGCAGGACAGCGGGCACCGGGTCATCAGGCAGGACAGAGGGCACCAGGTCATCAGGCAGGACAGACAGGACAGCGGGCACCGGGTCATCAGGCTGGACAGCGGGCACCGGGTCATCAGGCTGGACAGCGGGCACCGGGTCATTAGGGAGGACAGTGGGCACCAGGTCATCAGGCAGGACAGACAAGACAGCAGGCACCAGGTCATCAGGCAGGAGAGCGGGCACCGGGTCATCAGGCAGGACAGCGGGCACCGGGTCATCAGGCTGGATAGCTGACATCGGTTCCTCAGGCTGGACAGCGGGCACCGGATCATCAGACTGGACAGCGGGCACCGGATCATCAGACTGGACAGCGGATACCGGGGCTGGATAACAGGCATCAGGTCATCCGGCTGGAAAGCGGGCATCGGGTCATCAGGCTGGATAACGGGCATTGGGTCATCAGGCCGGATTGAATCATTAGGCTGGGTAGCGGGCACCAGATCATCAGGCTGGATAGGATCACCAGGCTGGGTAGGATCACCAGGCTGGGTAGGATCATCAGGCTGGGTAGCGTACGCTGGGTCATCAGGTATCAGGGCATCAGGCTGAACAGCGGGCACCGAGGCATCTGGCTCGACAGCGGGCTCCAGGGTGTTAGGCTGGACCACGGGCACCGGGCGTTAGGCTAGACCACGGGCAATGGGTCACCTGGCTCGACAGCGGGCACTGGGGTGCCAGGCTGGACCACGGGTGCCGGGGCGCCAGGCTGGACCACAGGTGCCGGGGCGCCAGGCTAGACCATGGGCGCCGGGGCGTCAAGCTGGACCACGGGCGCCGGGGCGTCAAGCTGGACCACGGGCGTCAGGGCGTCAGGCTGGATCACGGATGCCGGGGCGTCAGGCTGGATCGGGTCATCAGGCTGGATAACAGAAGGCGGGTTCTCAGACGGCAGGCTGACCGATTCGAATACTGGCAGGATGGTAATGGTTGGAAAGAATTTTTCGCTTCTTCTTGGTTTTAGTTTACTAAAGCACTGTAAGTACATGCAGGTCTGTAAACGGAGGAAGCAGCTGAAGACAGAGAAGAGCTGCAGGATGGAACAGAGGAGGGAGCAGTTGCTACAGAGGGGCTTTTTTACAAGGTTAAAGGCAGGATAGGTGCAGCGAGTGGGAACAGGGTACTGACATGTGGTTGATAGCAGGGTATACTGGGCTGGAACTGGGGGTGCTGTCGGGAATGCAGGAATAGAGTTTTGAAAAAATGGATTAGAAGCAGGACTGGTTTTTGCAAGCTGACTGAGGATGGATGTAACAAATCTGACCATGTCTGTAGTACCAATTGAACAAAACTCAGCTTACACATAGCCTGTCTGACCAAAGACTGCACTGTGTTTATACAATCCACAAGCACATGTGATGGACAAGCTGAATAATGCTAAGGAAGCAATCTGGATCATCCTCCAACAACCATACCAGTGACTCTACTTGATCTGCACTAAATGGCGGAAAAAAGTCATCACTGCTTTCAGGGGTACTAGATAAAGCCAACTCAGCACAAGCCTGGATCAATGGCTGCACCTCAGAAAACTCCATGCCCTGGTCTACTAGTAAATGACCAACTTGCGTGCACTCTAGCAGCTGATCCCTGGCATACTTCTTCAGAATCTGACAGCAGTACTCTCTGTCTTCTATTGCTAGCAGAGACAAGTACACAACTTCCTCCAAATGCATCCTTCCCCAACAACAAGCCAAGATGGCTTCCCTGTGCAGCCACTTCTGGTCAGGATTGGCCTTGGTGTTATGTCAGGGATCCAGGTATGACCAGAGATGTGTGGACTGACACAGGGAAACTCAGGCTTCAAGTATGGTGTAAAAGTAATATAATTTATTTAAGGTTACACAATACACAGAACACACAGTGCAAAACCAAACCAAACCTTAAACTAGTCTCAATATGTGCGGGAACACAAGCGTAGTCAGGCAGGTCGGGTCAGTAACTATCGGGTAGACAAGGTACAAAGGAGCAGGCAGGAGAAAGGTCAGGAATAGCCGGGGTCGGTGCAGGCAGAGTTCTGGCAGAGTCAGGATCAGGCAGGAATATCAGGCAGGAAGCAGACAGGATGCAGGTACAGGGGCTCATGGGGACCAACACCAAGGCACTAATGCAGGCCTGGTTCTGCTTAAATACACCTCCTGCAATCATCCTCAGGTGATGGCTTGATTGCAGGAGTGAGACCCTGGCTGCTGAAAGCACCCTCTGGTAGGAGCTGGTACTGCAGCCCACACAGCAAGTGAGCCACAGCACCACCAGTGGTGAGTCCATTCCTGACAACAGGAGGCCAGAAGATTTGTTTATTCCACCTACTTCCCAGCTCGCTCCTCTTTAAGCTCTGAATGCCACCCTGTACCATCTCTGTATATTCTGTTTTTTCATCTGTTCTATTAGTGGTCTCAATGATCTTTTTCTCCATAATGTCTCAGGTGTCAAATCTGCAAAAATTTGTAAATTTTTTCCTTCATACTCAATACTAGCTCTTCCTTTTATCTTCTTCCATACTTCTTCTCTCTCTCCTTTTTTATTAAAATGTACCACTACATCTCTCGGTCTCTCTTCCACCCGATCTCGCTGAAACCTTCCCATCCTATATATATATATATTGTCCAATACAAATGTCTCAGTTCTAGGTCTACCCATGATGGAGATTAGAATTTTTTGTATTATCTCTCTTAAATCTTCTTCTTGTGCAAGCTCCGGAATTCTCTTTATCCTGAGGTTATTTTTCCTATGCATGTTACCTTGTATCTCCAACTTATATCCCAGCTTTTTCTGTTCTTGCCTAATCTCCATTATATAATTTCTCAGTTCAGGAATGGCTTGAGCATGTTTTTTAATTTTTTCTTCTGTTTCTTCTACTCTGGACAAAAGATGACCCAAGTCTTTCCGAATAATTCCCATCTCCTGTTTAATTGATTTTTCCAAATTTCCAAACATTTCTGCCATCTCCTTTTTATTTGGGATTTGTAGTTCTCCTTCATTTTCTCTTGGGTCTATTCCTCCTATTATTTGTTGACTACTATTATCCATTTCCACCGGAGACCTGGCGCTCTTATCCATGCTATTTTCCATTATACTTTTTTCACCTACCCCTTGAGTTCTTTCTGGGGTCACATTACCTTGAGACGTAAATTTTCTAATTGTTCCAGATTGGGAATGCTTGGCACCACTCCCTTTGCTATTTTTACTCTTCATGTTTTCTATATGTGTCCACTCCCTCTTCTTTAAGACTTTAGGGTATATGCTGTAATGGGTCTTTTGGAGAGGTTCTAATTTATTCAATCTGCTTGGTGTTCCCCCTCTATGTATACTTCTCCTGCTGCATCAATAAACTGTCCATAATAACAGATTTTATATATAGTCCAGCCACTCACCCTCTTTTAGTTGCTTTTCCTGGGAGATTGTCCTTTGGAATCTCTGTCTTCTGTTCTGGCACCATTCCTCTTCCCCTCAATTGGAGGAGGGGGGGGGGGTTCTCTCCAGGTCTCCTTCTTTCTCCTCCGTCTACCTCTCTCACTGGTATCCGGCACACAGACTCTCCTCTCTCCCAAGTTGGCGTCTTCTCCAACTCCTCTGGGGACCTGCCAGTTCTCTCCCCTTCTCCTCTCACCGAGCCGGGACGCTGAGCCAGGACCACGTGTCTCATCCGTGAGAGAGCCGGTGTCTCCCCCTGAATCGGGAAGCTAACCGGCTTCACTGTCTCCCAGAGCTCCCTTGCGGGAGATCACATGACCGCCCCGCGTCACCTGCACTCCCAGCAGCCTTGGGCGGGGAGGTTTCAACCGCCCCGTAGTCGTGGACTCCTGCAGCTCCGTCCTCTCAAGTTCTCTTCGGGAACCCCTCTCACCCGCAAGTTCTCAACCGGGTGCCTTCGCAGCATTTAGTCAGGGAACATTTGGGGAGGGAGGGTGGCCATCCTACGGAGAGCGCTCACATCGCCCTCTCTCCAACCGCCTTGGTTAGGCTCCTCCTCTGAGATCTTCCAGTCCCACCCTTAACTGTTATTAATGTACCACCCCATGAGTAGTTAAATAGAAACTGAGGAGGGATAACCCAAAACTAGAGTAAATAGACTATCTCGGTACCTACGAATGACACAATAACATAACAATGATACATTTATTGGTACACAAAAGTAAAAATCTCTTTCACATATACATGAATGCATATATTAAAACCACATGAATTGACAGCATGGTACAATCAAGTACATGAGTCACAGATACTATAGTTTCACACCCCTAAGATGGTGGAAAATATGGGGGTGATGCTTGCTCCACTACATGTTTTGCAGATATTGTCCACTTCTTCAGGAGGAAAGATCAAACTTTAATCTGAAACTAAACACAAATGTAATCAAAATACAAATGTGATATAGTAAACACGGTGTTTATAATAATAATGATGAAAATAATAACATTGGGTGGACAAGACTAGAGGTGGCTAGAGGTGTCAACATACTTCCCCCCGCCCCTGTGTGGCATTTTTCTGTCTGATGACCAGCTGGCAAGACTATTTTACATATTACTATTTTACACTCCTGACTTTTGCAGTCTACAGTATATCTTGTTCTGTGTGTTCCACTGCTGATCCATGCATTCTATAACCTACGTTGTGAATTGCATGATACTGACTTCTGCAATGTATATGTTGTGATTGCTATATAGTCCTGAGTGCTGCACTCTGTAATTTGTGCTGAACATATCATCCTCCTGGCCATGTATATTGTCTAAACTTTAAATGAAGTTCTCTTACTGTCAACCTACAGTATATTCTGAACAGAGAAACACATTTGTAATGGAAGTTTCAATTTAAAAAAATATCCTTTGTGCTGAGGGATATAAGTCTCTCATTTGAGGCATTGTAATTAAAGGGATTCTAAAGGCTTATTTATTTTAAGGAAAAATAACAAACATGTTATACTTACCTGCTGTGTGCAGTGGTTTTGCAGCCCGGATCCTCCTTGGGTCCCCCGCAGGCTTTCCTGGCCCCTCCTTCCTGTCGGGTGCCCCCACAGCAAGCAGCTTGCTATGGGGGCACCCGCTCCTCCGTGGCTCAGCCTTGCCCCCTCTCTCATCTCATTGGCTCATTGTCTGTGATTGACAGTAGTGGGAGCCAGTAGCTCCAGCTTCTGTCTCAGCCAATGAGAAGAGAGAGTCACGGGCTAGCCGAGACTCCAGTGCACATCGCTGGATCGAGAGGGGGCTTAGGTGAGTATTAGGGGGGGCTGGGGGGGAAACTGCACACAGGTTTTTTTTACCTTCATGCATACAATTCATGAAGGTAAAAAAACATTAAGCCTTTAGAACCACTTTAAAGCAGAACTATTTAAACCTTCTATCCTGCACTGTGATGTCCTGCCAGCCACTAGCATTGTCAGACTGGCAGCTTCTGGGTATTGATGTCTAGCCTTTTTCATTAATTGGGCCAAAATGACATCAATCCTGTGCATGTGCAGGAGCTCAACCATCTCGGCATAACCAAAATTCTACACCAAGCTACACGTGTGAAGCTCACTGTACAGTGCGGACAGGAAGATCATTTATTTTATAGTAGATATATAGCGGGGTTGAGTTACTAAAACTGAAGAGTGCAAAATCTGGTGCAGCTTTGTATATAAACCAATCAGCTTCCAGGCTTTTTTTTGTCAAAGCATAATTTAACAAGCTTAAGTTAGTAGCTGATTGGCTACCATGCACAACCGCAACTGGATTTTGCACGCTCCACTTTTAGTAAATCAACCCTAGTGTGTTTGTTCCACATTAAAAATCCTGTTTGCAATTATCTCATGTTAAAGTTTCACATTAAGAGGTACTGTATGTTGTGAGTACAAGGAATGTGGCATACATGTGTGGTATATACTGCGAGCATGCTCAAACTATTACTTTATTAATCTCTTCGTGCTGGTGGTATGCATATATGTGGCCTCTTGGCGGGTGGGCCTTAACACTGAGAGGCCCCATATATGTGTACCAGAATGTAAACAGAGCTGTACCGAGAACGGGCCCTGTGTGCTCTCAGCACAGAGGCGATCTCTACTTGCGATCAGGGGTTTTTCCACTTTGACAGACAATCACAGCGCTCACATGTTTCAAAATCCTGCCCCACCTATCAGCATCAGAAACCTCTTAAAGGGCCGGGAGGCCCAGCATTAATTTATCAAGCCCACTTTATGCCACAATGCTACATGCACCACGAGTTCCTGTCTCTTTTATGTGTCGCTCTTTCGTGGGTTCTAAAGTTGTGATTTATGGAGTATTTTACCCTTAGTATACACAATGAAGCAGCATTGAATTTACAGTACACAGCTCTATGGAATGGCACAGTATAGGTAATATATCATAAAGTACAAAATAGAGCCATATACAGTATACAGTATACTTTATAGTATAAAATGAAGCGGTGAGATTGATACTCATTCATTGTGTTTATGGCACATACCAATTTTTCAGTTACAGGTTCCTACATATGGACCTCAAAACCCCCTCAGCATTCCATACAAGAATAATTTGAGGAAGCAGAGATAAAGTACACACGGTAAAACATATTTACAGTTTAGAGATTCTCTTTTAAATTGTTTTAAAACACTTTTACATAATAACAGCAAGTACCCTAAGTGGGTGTCACAATAACAATAGAAGTGATATTCAGCCATGTTGGCAATATAATAAAGTGAATAGTGTTGTGCAGTAATTGCAACTCTGGCCACAGTTGTTTAAAGGAGGGATTGACAAGGTGCCTTTAATATGTCTTTTAACTATGTTGGGAGAGATCATTCTGGTGTTTTATTGTTCCTAAAAGCACTAGCAGCAAGCACTTATTGAATGTTTGCTGTGCCAAACAGCATATTATAACTTGTTCATGTTAAGAAGACTTGCATTATGCTGTTAGTCATGGGCCATAGGAGTTATTGGAAATAAAGTAACACATCATATATATGTCAGAAAAAAAATAAAGAAATTACCCTTAAGAGAATATCAAGTATGATATCCAATCATTTCAACCCTATTACATTTGGAATCAGGAAACCATATAATGTTTGGTTTCCAAACCAGTACTCCTTGAGTTGCTGTACCATTATTATTTCCTGGTCCCCTAAAGCATTCCTAGCTTTTCAGCTAGAATTGACTGTTAAGAAGCATAGGCATGCAGCCTCAATATCCCATATCCCGAACCATAACCTTGTACCTTCATACTAATAAAGCACGTAAATTGATGTTGAGAGGAAGGGCAAGGCCACAGTTTTGTTTATCTACAGATTCAATGGATAACTCAAACATGAATATAAAGGTTCCAAAAATGATATATGCCAGTCACAGCTGATCTGTGTGGACCAAATACCATAACATAGCCTATAAGCCTATTCTAGAAATCAGTTCAGGAAAGGCCCTGTCTTACACCAACCACTGAGGTGGTTACCCAGAAAATGTGTAGCTGGCAGGGTAACAATTTGCCTATAAAGCTGTGACAAAAGTAATGTAAAGTATATTTTTTTAAAATTTTTGTTTAGGAGGGTGGGTGTGATCTTCTCATGTGGCAACCAGAAGTCCAAAGAGAGGTGCTTCCACCTCAGGTAATTTTATACCCTCACCACCTATCCCAACCACCTTAGAGCCTAAAGGGAAACTCTAAACTACCTAATGCCATGCTTAAAGCCACTCAGGAGCCCCTTTCCTTAACGTGCAAGGGCTCCCACATTCTGTCTGGGTAGCAGCACTAATGGTATAGGCAGGGGCGGACTGAAAACTCATGGGCCCCTGGGGCAATAGGGGATCATAGGGCCCCTGTGTCCTTGCCCAAACTCAAAAAAGCCTATGAGAAAGGTACCAGGGGCATCTCATGGGGCCCCCTACTGACCCCAGGCCCTCGGCAGTGCCCGAGTTTCCAAATGGTCAGTGTCAGGAATGGACTTGCCAGTAATGGTGGGACTCACCTGCCTTGTGGGCTGCAGTACCAGGGCTGGCCAGCGGGTGCTCTCAGCAATCAGAGACTCAACCCTGTAGTCAGCCAAACACCTGAAGCTGATTACGGAGGTGTATTTAAGGGATGGCCAGACCTGCAGTCTGTGCCTTGGTGTGTGTTTTTTCTATGGGCCCCTGTATCTTGTTACCGGCATCCCTGTTCCTGTCTGACTGATTCGTTGCCGACCCTGCCTGATCCGGACCTCTGCTGACTTCTCCTGTTTGATCCCTGGCTTGTGACCCCGACCATTCTCTGCCTGACCCCCTGTACCTACCTGCCCGTTAGTTGCTGTACCTGGCTCGTGACCTGACTACTCTCTGCCTGCTCCTCCTGTTCCTACCTGCCCGATTGTTATTGACCCAGCCTGCCTGACGACGCTTGCATTGTATGTATTGTTATCTGTGGGTGGTTTGGTTTGGTTCGTTTGCACTGTGTTATGTTTTAGTATTGCACTGCGTTTGTATTGTTAGTATTAATAAATTATATTGTTTATCACATATCTGAAGCCTGCGTTTCCCTGCGTCAGTTCACATACCTCTGGTCATACCCGGAGCCCTGACATTACACCAAGGCCAATCCTGACCAGAAGTGGCTGCACAGGGAAGCCATCTTGGCTTATTGTTGCTGGGAAGGATGGATCTTGATGAGGTTGTGTATTTATCTCTGCAAGTGTTTGATGACAGAGAATATGCTTATCAGACTCTGAAGGAGTATCCCCGGGATCAACTACTAGAATGTATACGGATCGCTCATTGCCTAGTAGATCAGGGTACAGAATTCTCTGAGGTGCAGCCATTGATTCAGGTTTGTGCTGAGTTGGTTTCATCTGGTACCCCCGAATGCAGGGATGAATTTTTGCCGCCATTTAGTGCCGACCAGGTAGAGTCCCTGGTATGGTTATTAGAGGATGATGTGGATTACTTTCTGGAGCGTTATTCTACATGTTCACAACAGGTACTAAGAGATTGTATAAACGCAGTGCAGTCTTTGACCAGACAGGCTTTGTGTAAGCTGAGCTTTGTTCAACCCATACTGCAGACATGGTCAGACTTGTTGCACCCAGCCTCAGTCAGCTTACAACATCATTCCTCCACTCAAGGCACTCTTCCTGCATCCCCGACAGCACCCCCAGTGACTGCCCAGTATACTCTAACTACCACATACCAGTCCTCTGCTCCCACTCGCTGCACCTATCCTTTCTTTAACCCTGTAAAGAAGTCCTCTGTAGCAACTGCTCCCTCCTCTGTTCCATCTTCCAGCTCTTCTCTGTCCTCAGCTGCTCCATTCGTTTGCAGACCTGCGTTTACTTGCAGTGCTCCAGTAGTTAAAACCAGAAAAAAGCGAAAATTCTTTCCAACCAGTACCATCCTGCCAGTATCCAAACCGGTGAGCCTGTCGTCTGAGAACCTGCCTTCCATGGTTCAGCCTGGTGCCTCGGCACCCGCACTTCAGCCTGATGTCTCTACCCAGCCTGATGTCTCTACCCAGCCTGATGAACTGATCTAGCCTGATGATCCTATCACTCCTGATGACCCAGTGCCGCTGTCATACCTGGTGACCCGATGCCCGCTGTCGAGCCAGACGATCCGGTACCTGATGACCCGATGCCCGCTGTCGAGCCAGACGATCCAATGCCTGATGACCCAGTGCCCGCTGTCATGCCTGGTGACCCAATGCCCGCTGTCGAGCCAGACGATCCAGCGCCAGATGACCCGGTGCCTGCTGTCGAGCCAGACGATCCGGTACCTGATGACCCGGTGCCCACTGTCGTGCCAATTGACTCAGAGCCCACTGTCATGCCTGGTGACTCGGTGCCCACTGCCTTGCCAGATGACGCGGTGCCCGCTGTCGAGCCAAATGACCTGATGCCTGGTGACCCGATGCCCGCTGTCGAGCCAGACGATCCAATGTCTGACCCAGTGCCCGCGGTCATGCCAGTTGACTCGGAGCCCACTGTCGTGCCTGGTGACTCGGTGCCCACTGCCTTGCCAGATGACGCAGTGCCCGCTGGCGAGCCAAATGACCTGATGCCTGGTGACCCAGTGCCCGTTGTCATACCTGGTGACCCGATGCCCGCTGTCGAGCCAGACAATCCAATGCCTGATGACCCAGTGCCTGCTGTCATGCCTGGTGACCCGATGCCCGCTGTCGAGCCAGACAATCCAATGCCTGATGACCCAGTGCCCCGCGTCATGCCTGGTGACCCCGATGCCTGCTGTCAAGCCAGATGATCCAACGCCAGATGACCCGGTGCCTGCTGTCGAGCAAGACGATCCGGTACCTGATGACCCGGTGCCCGCTGTCGTGCCAATTGACTCAGAGCCCACTGTTGTGCCTGGTGACTCGGTGCCCACTACCTTGCCAGATGACGGGTGCCCGCTGTCGAGCCAAATGACCTGATGCCTGGTGACCCGATGCCCGCTGTCGAGCCAGACGATCCGGTACCTGATGACCCGGTGCCCGCTGTCATGCCTGGTGACCCGGTGCCCGCTGTCGAGCCAGACGATCCAATGCCTGATGACCCAGTGCCCGCTGTCATGCCTGGTGACCCAATGCCCGCTGTGGAGCCAGACGATCCGGTACCTGATGACCCGGTGCACGCTGTCATACCTGGTGACCTGATGCCCGCTGTCGAGCCAGACAATCCGGTACCTGATGACCTGGTGCCCGCTGTCATGCCTGGTGACCCGATGCCCGCTGTCGAGCCAGACGATCCAGGGCCAGATGACCCGGTGCCTGCTGTCGAGCCAGACGATCCGGTACCTGATGACCCAGTGCCTGCTGTCATGCCTGGTGACCCGATGCCCGCTGTCGAGCTAGACGATCCAGCGCCAGATGACCCGGTGCCTGCTGTTGAGCCAGACGATCCGGTACCTGATGACCCGGTGCCCGCTGTCGTGCCAATTGACTCAGAGCCCACTGTCATGCCTGGTGACTCGGTACCCACTGCCTTGCCAGATGACGCGGTGCCCGCTGTCGAGCCAAATGACCTGATGCCTGGTGACCCGATGCCCGCTGTCGAGCCAAACGATCCAATGTCTGACCCAGTGCCCGCGGTCATGCCAGTTGACTCGGAACCCACTGTCGTGCCTGGTGACTCGGTGCCCACTGCCTTGCCAGATGACGCGGTGCCCGCTGGCGAGCCAAATGACCTGGTGCCTGGTGACCTGATGCCCGCTGTCGTGCCTGATGACCCGGTGCCCGCCGCTCCGCCTGGGGGCCCGATGCCTGACACTCCGCCTGGGGGCCCGATGCCTGCCGCCCCGCCTGGGGGCCCGGCGCCCGCCGCCCCACCTGGGGGCCCTGTGCCTGCCGCCCCACCTGGGGGCCCTGTGCCTCTGCCCGGAGTCCAGCCCGATGTGCCTCTGCCCGGAGTCCAGCCCGATGTGCCTCTGCCCGGAGTCCAGCCCGATGTGCCTCTGCCCGGAGTCCAGCCCGATGTGTGCCTCTGCCCGGAGTCCAGCCCGATGTGCCAGTCTTTGATATCCCGCCAGTTACCAGACCCGGGCGGTGGAAAATTTTGCCCAGCTAGGACTGTTTGGAGCGTCCTGAGGCCGCTCCTTGAGGGGGGGGGGGGTACTGTCAGGAATGGACTTGCCGGTAATGGTGGGACTCACCTGCCTTGTGGGCTGCAGTACCAGGGCTGGCCAGCGGGTGCTCTCAGCAATCAGAGACTCAACCCTGTAGTCAGCCAAACACCTGAAGCTGATTACGGAGGTGTATTTAAGGGATGGCCAGACCTGCAGTCTGTGCCTTGGTGTGTGTTTTTCTATGGGCCCCTGTATCTTGTTACATCCCTGTTCCTGTTCCTGTCTCTGTCTGATTCGTTGCCGACCCTGCCTAATCCGGACCTCTGCTGACTTCTCCTGTTTGATCCCTGGCTTGTGACCCCGACCATTCTCTGCCTGACCCCCTGTACCTACCTGCCCGTTAGTTGCTGTACCTGGCTCGTGACCTGACTACTCTCTGCCTGCTCCTTGCTCCTCCTGTTCCTACCTGCCCGATTGTTATTGACCCGGCCTGCCTGACGACATTTGCATTGTATGTATTGTTATCTGTGGGTGGTTTGGTTTGTTTGCACTGTGTTATGTTTTAGTATTGCACTGCGTTTGTATTGTTAGTATTAATAAATGACATTGTTTATCACATATCTGAAGCCTGCGTTTCCCTGCGTCAGTTCACATACCTCTGGTCATACCCGGAGCCCTGACAGTCAGTCTGCCCCTGGGTATAGGACCCAACAAGGAACTATTGTTATTTCACTAAATTAGTTTCCCCTGACTACTAAACAAAAATAGGAAACTAGACTTTTGCAGTCTGTATTAGTAAGTGACAATTGTATGTGCTATGGAGGTGGCAAAGGAGTAAATTTGTAGCCAAAGGCAGGATTTACACACCCTGTCTCTCTAGGCCAACTGTCTTGACTGGCATTCTACCCAGTTGACTGGCTAGCCTTAGAATCAAACTAACAATATCAGAAGCCATATCCACACAAGACATGGTGTGGCTAGGGAAGAAAGGCTGCCTGCTCTACTACTGCCTTCACTACTTTGATAGTGGATTGGTTTTGTTTGTACAAACCCAGAGTGAGTAAATTATAAGTAATCAGTTCACTAGCCCACCAATAAAAATTGTCTTACTGTACAGGACAGCAACAATGACCAGCTAACTGCTGCTCTACACTCTACCACAGAGTGAGGGCTCTATGGTAAAGAGACAAAGACACTACAGGGCTTTGTCATCATGGCTATCTCCTACCTTCTCTAGTACTGTCCAGAAACTTCTTTCTGGGGCATGATTCACTACATTAAAGCATATCTAAACAAACAAACAATAAATATATATACACTATATTGCCAAAAGTATTGGGATGCCCCTTCAAATCATTGGATTCAGGTGTTCCAATCACCTCCATGGCCACAGGTATATAAAATCAAGCACCTAGGCATGCAGAGTGCTTCTACAAACATTTGTGAAAGAATGGGTTGCTCTCCGGAGCTCAGTGAATTCAAGTGAGGTACCGTGATAGGTTACCACCTCTGCAATAAATCCATCTATGAAATTTCCTAGCTACTAAATATTCCACAGTCAACTGTTAGTGTTATTATAACAAAGTGGAAGCAACTGGGAACAACAGCAACTCAGCCACCAAGTGGTAGGCCATGTAAAATGACAGAGCGGGGTCAGCACATGCTGATGCCAACTGTCTGCAGTGTCAATAGGTAAAGATCTCCAAACTTCATGTGGCCTTTAGATTAGCACAACAACAGTGAGTAGAGAGCTTCATGGAATGGGTTTTCATGTCCGAGCAGCTGCATCCAAACCTTACATCACCAAGTGCAATGTATAGCATAGGATGCAGTGGTGTAAAGCACGCTGCCACTGGACTCTAGAGCATTGGAGACGTGTTCTCTGGAGTGATGAATCACATTTTTCTGTCTGACAATCCGATGGATGTGTCTGGGTTTGGTGGTTGCCAGTAGAATGGTACTTGCATGACTGCATTGTGCCTAGTGTAAAGTTTGGTGGAGGGGGGACCATGGTGTGGGGTTGTTTTTCCAGGGGTTGGGCTTGGCCCCTTAGTTCCAGTGAAAGGAACTCTTAAGGCGTCGGCATACCAAGACATTTTGGAGTCATGTTGGAACAGGAAGGGGCTGTTTCAATTTCATGCTCCAAACTTGTGGGAACAGTTTGGGGATGGCCCCTTTCTGTTCCAACATGACTGCACACCAGTGCACAAAGTAAGAAACATAAAGACATGGATGAGTGAGGTTGGGGTGGAGGAACTTGACTGGCCTGCACAGAGTCCTGACCTCAACCCGATAGAACATCTTTGGGATGAATTAGAGTGGAGACTGTGAGCCAGGTCTTCTCGTCTGACATCAGTGCCTGACATCACAAATGCGCTTCTGGAAGATGGTCACGCTCTTAAACATTGTGGACAGCCTTCCCAGAAGAATTGAAGCTGCAAAGGGTGGGCCAACGCAATATTGAACCCTATGGACTAAGACAGGGATGCCATTAAAGTTCATGTGCATGTAAAGAAGGCAGGTGCCCAATACTTTTGGCAATATAGTGTGTATTTATATATATATATATATATATATATAAAAGAGAGAGAAGAGAGAGAGAGAGAGTTGCTTACCAGTTCCGAGGGTGGTGACTAGAGATGAGCGAATTTTTCAAAAATTCGATTCGGCTGATTCGGCGAATTCCAGGAAGAAATTCGATTCGATGTGAATTAATTCGCTACGAAGTTAACTTATAAAAAGGGTTTCTAGGCTTCAGAGAGCCTTTAAATTAGTGCAGAACACTGTACCTTTAATTTAAATGCCCTTGGAGATGAGGAAGGAGAAGGAGAAGGAGAAGGATGAGAAGAAGAGAAGGATGAGAAGAAGGACAGTTCTGTGACAGTTTCTGTCTATTTCTGACAGTTCTGTGACATTCACTCCATACAGCGGTTTCAACCGCTGTATGGAGGGAATGTCCCAGAACTGTCAGAAATAGTCTATTTCTGACAGTTTGTGGGACATTCCCTCCATACAGCGGTTGAAACATTGTATCTATTTGTTTCCATAAATGGATCCATTTATGGAAACAAATAGATACAATGTTTCAACCGCTGTATGGAGGGAATGTCCCAGAACTGTCATAAATAGTCTATTTCTGACAGTTGTGGGACATTCACTCCATACAGCGGTTTCAACCGCTGTATGGAGGGAATGTCCCAGAACTGTCAGAAATAGACTATTTCTGACAGTTCTGGGACATTCACTCCATACAGCGGTTGAAACATTGTATCTATTTGTTTCCATAAATGACATTCTGCAGATACACTTAGAGGAGCTCTGCAGATACACTTTTTGCCGGCTTGGAATTAATCTTATTTTCATCCTACTTCTTCTTCTTCTTCTTCTCATCCTCATCCTCAGAAGAAGAGGAGTAGGATGAGATGAGATCCAAGCCGGAGGATGAGGATGATCTGCAGAAGAAGAAGTAGGATGAAAATAAGATTAATTCCAAGCCGGCAAAAAGTGTATGTGCAGAGCTCCTCTAAGTGTATCTGCAGAGCTCCTCTAAGTGTATCTGCAGAATAGAGGAACTCTGCACATACACTTTTTGCCGGCTTGGAATTATTCTTATTTTCATCCTACTTCTTCTTCTTCTTCATCCTCATCCCTCTTCTTCTTGAGGATGAGGATGAGGATGAAGAAGAAGAAGAAGAAGTAGGATGAAAATAAGATTAATTCCAAGCCGGCAAAAAGTATGTATGTGCAGAGCTCCTGTAAGTCTATGTGCAGAGCTCCTCTAAGTGAAGAAGAATCTGCAGAGCTCCTCTAAGTGTATCTGCAGAATAGAGG